TGCATGCATCTGTACTATAAAACATTCATCTGCTCAGCTGATACATTAGTTGATGCTGAACTACAGTGTTTAGTTTATTAGACTAGGTTGTAAGTGGACTATGGTGTTTTGATTGAATTTATGGCAAAAATTGTTTCTGTTTTTATTTTTTTTGGAAGTTTTATTGGATAATTAATGATCAGATAGTGGATAATGGTTGAACAGTATGTGATAATTGAAAAGTTCTTTTGCTCGCATTTTTCCTAATTAATCAATCAATCAAGATTTGTTGATGTGCACATTTTTTGTAATGTTGTAATTTTTTGGGCTGTTACCCTCAATGTTAATGGAAAAATTGAGTTTTCACTAGTGTCTATATCTTTTTCCACAGTGGGTGTTTCTATAATCTTTGGTATTGTACTGAAACAGTTGCTTTTGCATTTTTTGCCTTGAAACAGAAAAGGGAAGCCCCACCAGGTGAGAAACCAGAGCCTGTAAGGACTCATCTACGTAACATGATAATTGTTCCGGAGATGATTGGGAGTATCATCGGTGTTTACAATGGCAAGACTTTTAATCAAGCTGAAATCAAGCCTGAGATGATCGGGCATTATCTAGCTGAATTTTCTATCTCCTACAAGCCTGTCAAGCATGGAAGGCCTGGTATTGGTGCTACCCACTCGTCTCGGTTCATTCCTCTCAAGTAAAAGCTGTGTTTTTCACTGGGTAATGTACGGGAGTTATTTTTCCTGTCGTTGACTGGATTTTGATTAGTTTTCTTTCATTGCAAATGTCTCGATATATTTAATTCCGGCGGAGAAAATAGCTGTATGGGAGTTCTTTTAATTTGTTGTCTTCAACCGGATTTTGATTAGTTTTCTTCCTTTTCAAATGTCATGACAGTATCTAATGCCTGAGATCCTGAACAGAATAGTTTTCCTAAATTGAAAGCCCTGCTAGTTTTCATCAAATTTTCAATTATATTAATCTTTGGGAGAGAGGATTGAGATGGAGTGGGATGAAAATTGCATATTAGGAGAAATTTTAATATTTTTTTATAAATTTTAATATTCCCAATAACTTTTTTATTGGGAATATACTAATATTTTATTATATTTTTATTAATGAGGTGATGTAAAATTTCAATTCCATAATTTTTTGATAATCTTACTTTTATTTTAGTAAATTGAAGAAGAATTTTTTGTTTTGTTTGTAGATATTAGTAGTTTGACAATTTTCCATTTACTTTCTAATCCAAATTAAGATAAGTATTATGCCTATAATATAAATTGGTTTATTTAGATCTTGGTAAGTTCATATACCAACTACAATCATATTGTTGCATGTAGGAAGGATATTTTATAGCCTTTAGATAAATATATATATATATATATAACGAAACTAAGATTACTTTCCAAATAAATTGAAAATTCGTATTGAAATTATTTACACTAACATCAATTGTAAAACAATACACATTTATCTAGAACTAGAAAAATTAAATCCACACGTGTGAAATTGGAACGACTTTAATTCATCTTGATTTCGCGTAAAATCTTATATGACTTCATTTTCTTTAATAATCATCCGAATACACAACCGATAACTTTTCGTGACTAAATTAAGTACAAATCTATACGACTTAGGAACCCAAGAATGAAATCACCCTAGTAATTCTATTAGCCAAGACATTTGTTATATAATTACATAATCTAGAAACCCAAGAAAAACATAATTCTAAAAAAAAAAAATCATCCAATATTAACCGTTAGCCATAGAGGATTAAATTGTATTTCTTAAATTAAATATTTGAAAGTTATATATTATCTTTTAGTGCTAACAAGTAAATAAATTGTTTTTCTTTATGTATATATATATATATATATATAAATTTTAACTAAGAAGAAAAAGGGTATGCTCATCTTTAGGAAACAATCTTTGCACCAAATGTGATTTAGAAAGCCTACTTGCCAAATATACAAATTTAGGAAACTCCTCCATTTGTCATCACGCATTGAATCACCTTCCCATCTTAATTGACTACCCACTAAATACCATAACTTAAAATTTGTCGAAGGTCGAAAATATTCTACTTCTTATTAAACATTGCGTTATAACTTCACACAAAATAAAATGTAGACTCGTTCATTCTAATTTAACCTCAATTTAACTCGAATTCTATGTTCGAAAACAAAAAAAAAAAAAATAATAATTATTATTTTGAAGATCCGTATAAAATTTGATATTTTTAAAATATAATTCCGACTTAAATTTATTTTCTAATCGATTTAATTTTTTATAAAATGATTATTAATTTATTCCAAACATAGCTTTAAAATAAATTAGATTATGTAATTGTATTTTTTTCACTTCACGTAGAATTATTATTTTTGAAGTTAATTTTTAATATTTTTTTTTATATAAAATAACAAAAATTATAAAGCCATAGAGATTGGGAGATGCAATAAGTCAAAAGCTTCTACGCCACAAGCTTTGTTTCCAACCCCCGCCTCCAAAGACCTTAACGTGTTTGAATAATTAATTCTTCTCATGAAAACAAATTGGAGGAGTATGGGCGTAGACTCTTGACTCTTCCTTCACTTTTGGCTTCTTCCTCATTTTCTCTCCTCCTCCACTCACTTTATTCATATCTTTAAGGACGCCTGGCACCAGATGCTAGACCCAGAAAATGCAAAACAAAAAGATTAAATTTTTTTACGAATTCTGATCCAAAATCGAATAAATATTCGTACCCAGTAAGTATATAAACTAGTATCGACAGTCATATTTACATCCCTTAACATCCTCATATTGCAAAGCTATACCATCAGACAGAATTAAGCAAGACAAAACCATGACAGGGGATCGACTATAAAACTGTGTTAAAATTATTTTCCGAAATCATATAGTATTAGTAAGAGTTTGTCGAACATAACAATTCCGAATCTTGATCAACTCTCGATGATTCAGTTTTCACTACACTACTACTGGGTTGGTGGTCTTTTTTTCCTCTTAGGAAACTTCCACTTTGGTTCCTTCTTTCCTTCTACTACCATATTCTATAACATCAACTCATGTATAACACAACTTCATGGTTAAAAAAAAGTTAAAACCAAACACACCCATCTCATCATGATAGGTTTTAGCTTACTATTCTCCATTGAGGAAATAACTTAAACTATTTGAACCACTGATTGCAGTAAAAGATGAAAGATTCTTACAATTTGAAACCCCAATTCCGCATCTTTTTTGTTCCGGCATTAGGTCTCAGACCTGCTACCAGATTGTTTAAAAGGCTTCAAAGCCAACTCCCCGAAGCTATAAAAGGAAAAAAAAGAAAAAAAAAAAAGAGAGAAACACTGCTCCGAACCTATTCCCATGCTTGAACAGACAAAAATATGTACAGGAGCAATACAAAGCCGACCATAAACAAAAGTTCTCATGACCTGATTGATCCGATCTTCGCTAAAACCCTCACCATGTTCATGTGTTTGCAGATTGTGATGGTAACTTAGGGTGGTTATGTTCCCCTTCATATGTCACAATAAGCATTGATGGGTCTTCCAAACATCTCTCCACATGCTTCCTCGCGGGACAACCTCTCATGCTGCTACATTTATAATATCCCCTGTATGATTCCACAAAATTCTAGCTAAATAAGTAAAGAACTAAGCTCATTTAAAGCTATTAGTCCCAAGTTTATATGCTGCATTTAAAGTTCACATCCATACTTAACATAGTAATGCAGCAAAGATGAAACAGCAGTTAATTATTGAGACTTAAAACTATTATATAGATCAAAGAATAAAAGGAAAGGCATAAATTTAAGAGCAGTTCGTCTTTGACCAAATTATGGATTGGGATGGTTGTTTTAAGAAAAGGCGTAAATAAGTTTCACTCTACCATCTTTGCAGCAACTATTTGACCCAATTCTGCAAGGACGCAAAAGCTTCAACCACTTGACCAGTTGACCCCTTCACTGCTTTTCCCTTTCAAGGTTATTGTATGTGTAGGAAGGTCCTTAACCAATTCAATAGAATAGAACCCATTACCTAATCCTAGTCGATAGAGACTAATAGACATCACACCCCACCAAACATATGTGTCAGGAGGGGCAGATTGCATAGAACAACCTCAGTACAGTCACAAAGTCAATCATAATTTTCCAACACCTACCAACCATTAAAGATCTCTTCACATGGAAATGCAACAATATAATGCACCCATAAAAGGAAAGATGATATTAATATAGTTAGAAACAATAAAATGGCTACCCATATGCTTTCCTGATTCATATTTCAAAAAATCATAAACATAAATGTGAAAACAGTAAAGCCAACCAGAAATTTTTTTACAATACCACACCATAAAACTATAAAAAAAAAAAAAAGAATTTACTAACACTCACACTATGCTAGAATTGGATTTACCTTGGGTGAGGAGACCCCTTGATTGGCTTCTGCCCATATTTTCTCCATGAATAATCATCAGGAGGGATGTCAGCAAGCTTGTTGCTGATAGCAGGTACCTTGATTGATCTTTTCACCCTATGTTTCCTGTCAAAAACCATATGCAATTAAGCAAAATCTATGAAGCCAAATCTAACATCCACCTTATAACAAGAAAGGAAAAATTCAGACCTCTTCTTGGAGCAGTGACATCTACTGCTGCTTCCACATTTCACACTCCCATCTTCTCCCCTTCCAGAACACTTCCTCTTGTGTTGTTGTGAGTTCTGATCCGATGAGCGGGGTGCACCGATCAAATGGAAGGCACTTCCATCCAAGTTAGCCACACTACCATCTACACTCAAGGAAGAAATGAAAGACCTGGTGGATGACATTGTAGGAGTGCAGCTAGAACTATCAAAATTCAAGTTAATCCCACTATTGTTCTTCCTAAACATCATTTCAGCTTGATTTTTCAGCTGCTGCTGCTGGTGCTGAAGTAGCCTTTGTTGGAGCTGTTTATGTTGTTGATGGAGGAAATGGTACTGTCCAGATGGTGTTGGTTGGGCTAGTTGAAGAGGGTTTTTCCCACTTGAGCTCAGTTCAAAAGAAGGGCTTCCCAAACACAGAGAATTCTTGGCATGTGAACTGCTTGATTCTTGAATTAGACTTTCATGGTAACTAGATTGAAGAAAGTGAGGAGTCTTGGAAGGTTGGTTTGTTCTATGTTGAGGATTTTCTAGGAAAATGCGTTGAGGAAAAGGGGTTTGTGGCTTTTTCAGCTTCCTTACTCTAGCATGACCTAAACCAGTATTGAGAAGAGAAACAACCTTTTTAAACTTACAAACAGCCTCTCCAGTTTCCGCCATTAAATTCTTGTAATGAACCTGATCTTGGGGACGAGACAAGAGATTGAGAACTCTATGACAGCTCTCAACAGCTACCTTGTTTGCTTCTTCAACCTCCTCCATGGTAACACCCAAACACCCACCAAAAAACCCTAATTCCCCAATCAGAAAACACCTAGACCAGAAGAGACTACGAAAAAAAAACACAACTCCGAAAAATCAACTACGAAAACAGATCCTCAACGAGAAAGCAAACAGTTGGTACAGTCAAGATTCCATCTTCAAATACACAAAAACCCCAAAGCACGCTTTCTGAATCTGATTTTACGAAAATTCAACCTCCCAAAAGACTGAAATTTGAAAACAATGAAGACTCGGAATATCAGATTCAACTGGGTCTGAGAAAACTGACTGAAAGAGAGAGAAAAAGACTTACCACTAACTCATTAAAAGAAGTAAAAAAAAAAAAAACGGACCCGATGAAAAAATCAAACAAAAAGGTGGCAAAGAACAGACCTTGTTACAGTCGGTAGTCTCAAGCCCTAGCTTCTTTCATGGTTTCAGATTTCAAGGTGCGAAATAGAAGACTTTTTGCCGCAGAAAAATTCACAGAAACATAAGAATACAAAAGCTCCCATTTTTCAGAACACCCATATGAAATTTTTTCTCTAGAAAAAGAACGCACCCCCCGGAGAACCGGTAACATATTGAAGAAACAAAAAAACGAAGAAGAAGAAGAAGAAGAAGAAGACGAAAGAGGAACTGCGAGAGAAAGAGAAAGAAGTATTTAAATAAGGTTTGTGAAGCCTGCGAATTGAAGAGGAGCTGCGAGTTGAAACTGCCGTCTCTGTCTCAGATTTGAGCCGTGGGTCCCACCGGAAAGACCTTGGTTTTTCTCTCCCCTTTTTTTTTAATTTCTTTTTTAAATTAAAAAAATTAATTTTATTTCCAAAAATAATTTTATTTTCTTTAATTTCCAGATTTGCCCATCTCTGTTTTGTCTTTTACCGTTCCTTGCCGAAGCCTGGCTCGGAACCACATTATTTGGACGTAAAATACATATATTTTAAATTATTAAATTATATAAATACAAATTAAATACCCACTTAATTAAAAAAAAATTATTTATTAATTTAATAATTATTACTTTCGTGGGTTGGAGCTCGAATTATAAGTTACTTATTAGATTAAAATTTAAAAAATATTATTTAATTTAACTAAAAATTTATTATAAAATAAAAATGTATATAATAATTATAATTATTATTTTCTACTAAAAGAAAAAAGGAATCTCTGCAGTTGAGATGTTAAATGCATTTTTCTTTTTTTGTATTCTTGTGTTTAATTAAAGAAAATTTAGTTTAATTAATAGTTGTAGTACTAAATCCCATTTAAGCTCAATTTCTTAATTTAACTTTAAGAAAAAATTAATTATGTAAAATTAATCCTTACATTATTTTTAATAATTTAATTAATTAATAACCTTATTATAAAAAAAGGGCACAAAATGGTACAATATTTAAATATTAAAATAAAAAATTTAATTTATTTTTAAAAGTAATTAAAAATATATATATATATATATATATAATTAAATTCCCATTTTTTATTTAAGGGCAACAGTGGGAGTTCGAAGGGCTTTTTTCCGGTATTATGTGCGCAGCTTATTAAATGTCCGCTAAAAGTGGGACCCACTACGGGATTAAAGGGGCAACCTGCTGTCATAGCCGTTGTCAAGACAGCCCAAGTGGATGACGCCACGTGTAAATCTCCACTGTTACGGCGTGACACGTAACCAATTCGTGCCAGCTCATCACTGAGCCGCTACGTTGAGCCGAGGAAACACCGTTAAGTCGGTGGCCGGCGACTCCGTGGGGCCCTTACCGCCGTTGACTTTTGTCTTCGGTTAGTTATTCATCATCACACTCTCCTCTCTTATTATATGTTGATGATAATCATGTGTTTTTTTTTTTCCCCACATGATTTCCTCAACTTGGTAAAGTTCAAAATGAATCAATTCAAATTTTACTTTTTAACCGTTAGGATTAATATAATATATCTAGAGATAAATTTAACAAAAATCAAACAACAAAATAAATCTCCAAATCATATTTTGTTATTTATAGAAATTTCATCAATGATATATATATATATTTATATATTGATTGTTCAAATTATTACTCTAAAGTATCTGAAATCTTAAATGTAAAATTTAAATTCAAATTTTATTTCTGTTAGTAAGTTAATGATTAAAAATTAAAAATATAATTAAATATTAGATACGTTTAGATAAATGAGTTACTTGAAACTTCTGTTATAGCGTTAGGTAAAAAGTTAATACTTATTATTTATATGACCGTTTAAAACTCATGCGTTTTTTAAAAATAAA